GTGCGAGTGCGAGTGCGAGTGCGAGTGCGTGTGCGAGTGCGTGTGCGTGTGCGTGTTCTTGTGTGTGTGCGTTTGCTTGAGCGTGTGCGTGTGAGGGTGCGGGTAAGTGCGCGTGCGCGTGCGCGTGCGCGTGCGCGTGCGCGCGTGCGCGTGCGTTCGTGCGTGCGTGCGTGCGTGCGTGCGTGCGTGCGTGCGTGCGTGCGTGTGTGTGTGCGTGTGTGTGTGTGTGTGTGTGTGTGTGTGTGTGCGTGAGTTTGTGTGTGTGTGAGTGAGTGAGTGTGTGTGTGTGTGTGTGTGTTTGTCAGTGTGTCTGTGTGTGTGCGTGTGTGTGAGTGTGTGGGTGTGGGTGTGGGTGCGTGTGGGTGTGTGGGTGTGGGTGTGGGCGTGGGCGTGGGCGTGGGCGTGGGCGTGTGTCTGTGCGTTTTCGTGTGCGTGTGCGTGTGTGTGTGCTTGTGTGTGCGCGTGTGCGTGGGTGGGAGTGTGCGTGTGTGTCTGCGTGTGCGTGTGTGCGTATGTGCGCGCGCGTGTTTGTGTGTGGTGTATGTGTCCGACGTTCAGCTTGTTTCTTGCTTTTCCTGATTCCAATCCCTAAGCGGCCCTCGCTCTGGAAAGTTGTCCTTGGCCAAGCTGGTATGCGGTTCAGAGGCTCGCCTGCATAGATGCCCAGTCAAAAAAAAAAACAGGAGGAGGGAGGGTAAGGGGGAAGAGGAGGGGGAGTAGAGAGGAGGGGGGTGGCGGAGGAGGCTCGTCGTCTGGTTTTCGTGTCATAGCTCGGGTCTCCTGGCCACCGTTGTGGATCCGATCCGGTCGATACCAGGAGGGGAAGAAGGATAGGGAGGGGGAGGAGAAGTGCCAGACCCTTTCGCGCTGTGAAGAAGTCACGACCAGAGGGTTTCTGCTGTTTTCTGCCTCCGGGGGCCCTCACCGGGCCTCGGGACCGTCAAAAACGACTCAGGATGAAAAACCGGTCCGGGGGAAGGGGTCCAGACCTCTGGGAATCGACCCTGGGAAAAAATCACGACGCCGGGGGTCTGGGGAGGAGGAGTAGGCGGGAGAGGGGGGCGCAGGAGGCTCGTCGTCTGCCTGTCGTGTCCTAGCTCGGGTCTCCGGGCACCTTTCCAGACGATGCGGGCGCCCCCGGGCCGGGACGCTCTCGGCGAGGCGCAGCTGCTGGCAAGCAGCCCGAGGCCAGGGAGCCGCCTAGACCCCCCGGAAACGTCCGAAAGCCTCGGGCCTGGATCCCAACCGCCGCCCCCCGTGTGACTGCTTCGGAGGAGGGCGTTTCTCTTATGTCTCGAGCAGGGCTGCTTGCAGGGCAGTTCCCCCTTCCTCTAGGCCTCCCAGATGGGGTCGGAGTAGATGGGGTCGATCGGAGGATCGCGCCGCATCGCGGATCCATCGGCGATGCGGCTCGATGTGGAGCCCGATTTGCTTCACGTCGACGGCGCCGATGCATCGCCCACGTCGACGATGCATATCCGGTGCATCAACGATGCATCGACGATGCATCGACGATGCATCGCCGATGTATCGGCGATGCGGCGCGATCCTCCGACCCCATCTACTTCGACCCCATCTAAGAGACCTCTACTTCCCCCCCGCCCTCTTCGCCGCCTTTTCAGGCAGTGCTGGGCCGACGAGGCTTGCAAGTGTCCGGCTTGCGTGAGGTCCAGACTCCCTTCCGGGCCTCGCCGCGCCCCCCCTCCATTCCCCCCTCCATGCAAGTAACATTATCAGAACCAACAGGAAAAGCAGCCTTATGCTTATCTTGTCCGACTTGATCCGATTCGATCCCGGTCTTTCTGGCGACTCGATACGGCCCGATGGTTTCGCGGCTCATTTGTGCACCCTGGCGCGACCGATTCGATACGATGTCGTTTCGGTGCCGATGCAGACCGATCCGATGCAGCCTCCGATCCGATCCGACGCAGCGAGTCACTGCTGACCGCTCCCGGCGAGCGGGACGGCAGTCCCTGAGATCCGACGTTGCGAAAAAGTTGCAACATCGTGAAAAATCTTGACCAGAGCTCTGGACCTCGTCTTTCCTGGCCACTTTTCGAGCTGAATCGATCTGTGAGGGCCCCAGGGCCCGAGAACGAGCGAAGATGCCCCTCGTGAAAAGACTGCAGCGCCAGGACCTCGGGGGTCGTGGAGAAGCCAGGCTCCGTTCTCCGACGCTGCCGTTCTCGTCGAGGGGGGCGCTGCTCTTCGGGGTCGCCCCCCCGGGCCGGGCACTGGGCCCCGGGGCCCTCAGAAGCCGATCCAGGGTTGAATCGGCCGTGTCCGTCTACGGAAGGGATGCTCGAGAATAGCAGAGAGATGCTCAGGGGACGGTTCTTCGTGCTCTGTTGCTCATGTTCGACCATATATGGGCCATGTTCTGCTTGCTTTCCGAAGCCCGCTTGTATGAGGACAGGCCCGACCTAAATCCAGAGCGAAAAGACACCCTCGCGGGAAGCCGTCGGGACCTCTGAGGCCGCGGATCGAATAACAACAGTGCATACACACATATATATATATATATATATATATGTATATATACATATATATACACACAAACAAGAACAAAACAAAGTATCCCGGCAAAGCAACCTAACAGCGATGTGTAGAAGCATATCTGAAAGCATTCCCCTGAAGATTCAGATGAAAATCCAGTTGTAGAATTCTGCTGTTCTCGCAGTCGTAGTCGCATTCGCGATGACAGTCGCAGCGGCAACGGCAGTCGCAGTCACAGCCTCAGCCTCAGCCTGCCTCAGCCTCAGCCTCAGCCTGCCTCAGCCTCAGCCTGCCTCAGCCTCAGCCTCAGCCTGCTTCAGCCTCAGCCTCAGTCTGCCTTCAGCCTCGGCCTCAGCCTCAGCCTGCCTCAGCCTCAGCCTGCATCAGCCTCAGCCTCAGCCTCAGCCTGCCTCAGCATCAGCCTGCTTCAGCCTCAGCCTCAGCCTGCCTCAGCCTCAGCCTCAGTCTGCTTCAGCCTCAGCCTCAGTCTGCCTTCAGCCTCGGCCTCAGCCTCAGCCTGCCTCAGCCTCAGCCTGCCTCGGCCGCAGCATCAGCCTGCCTCAGCATTCAAAATGTGGCCCAGGAATGGAGTTCTGGGAACTAGAAGAACACGAAGTGGCCTACAGTTGGCTCCGGGCATTCAAAATGTGCCCGGGAATGGAGTTCTGGGAACTTGAAGAGCACGAAGTGGCCTACAGTTGGCTCCGGGCATCCAAAATGTGGCCCGGGAATGGAGTTCTGGGAATCGAAGAGCACGAAGTGGCCTACAGTTGGCTCCGGGCATCCAAAATGTGGCCCGGGAATGGAGTTCTGGGAAGTCGAAGAGCACGAAGTGGCCTACAGCGCCACGAGCGATTTTGCGAGGATGTCCCAAGCGATTTCGGCTTCGGCGGCAGGCCCCGGGTCCCGCCCCGACCCCCCTGTGGAGTCATCTGCTGCTCTCTTTTGAGACCACTAGAAACCTATCAGCAAAAGCTGTTAGGTAAAAAAACGTCGGCGGACGTCCGGGGTTTCGAGCTTGTATCCCAGCTTGGGTCTGGCGCCGCCTTCGGACGGCCCTGCATTGATCTTTCGGCGATCCATCAGAGGGGGCAAGGGTACCCATACTGCTACCCTCGGCGCGTTTTCCTTGTTGGGGGGGCCTCCTCGGAGGCCCTCGTCGCCGCCGTTGGATCCGCCTCGAAATTCTGGTCAGAAAGCACCCCGGGAGAGGTCCGGGGAGTAGCCGTGTCGGTACCTTTGGTCTCCCCAATCCAGATGTGGTGAGACGCTTGCAGTAGGAGTCCGCGTCCAGTAGTTTCAGTCTCTCAGTCCCGCCTCTTGTTCTGACGGGCCATCCTGGCGACACCGAGCCCAGAAAGTGCAAGTCTTGCGTCATACCCATATGGGGGTCCATTGTTCCAGGCCTCCTAGATGGGGTCGGAGGATCGCGTCCCATCGCCGATGCATCGGAGATGCATCGGCGATGCGGCTCGGTTTGGGGCCCAATTTTCTCCACGCCCACGTCGCAGATGGATCGCCGACGTCGCCAGTGCATGGCCGATGCGTCGCAAATGCATCGGCGATGCATCGCCGATGTATCGGCGATGCGGCGAGATCCTCCGCCCCCCTCTGCTCGGACCCCATCCAGGAGGCCTATGATGGTTCGGTCCTTTGGGTCCGGTCGCCCGCTGTGATTCTTGCGGGCCGTCCTGGCGACACCGAGCCCCGGAAGTGAAGGTCGCTGCGCCGCGCCAGGACGGGGGTGTCCATGGCTCGGTCGGTTGGGTCCGGGCGGACTGTGCAGGCCTAGCGGCGGCGTGCGGCGGGTAAGAAATGCCCAAGGCGGGGGGTGGCCGTCCCGCAGCAGTGCTCGGGGCGTGGAGGGACAATTCCTCCAGGCCTCCCAGATGGGGTCGGAGTAGATGGGGTCAGACTCGCGCCGCATCGCCGATGTGTCGACGATGCGGCTCGACGTGGTGCCCGATTTGCTTCACGCGGACGTCGCCGATGCATCGCCGGTGCATCGCCGGTGCATCGCTGGTGCATTGCCGATGCATCGGAGATGCGGCGCGATCCTCCGACCCCATCTATTCCGACCCCATTCAGGAAGCCTCTAAGTCTGCACGCTTCGCGTATCCCCGCCAGCCAGCTCAGAAAACCTGCCCCTGAGAGCGGACGGGGGAAGGGACGACGATGCACATAGAGTGAAGCAAACGCGGGCAGCAATGATGAACAGAAATTTCTCTGGAAGCACGGGGGTGGCCCTGGAGGGCCTCTTCGGGCCATCTCTGGGACCCGCGTGGGGGCGAGAGGAGGAGGAGGAGGAGGAGGAGGAGGAGGAGGAGGAGGAGGAGGAGGAGGAGGAGGGGGACGAGGACGAGAAGGAAGACGACGACGACGACGACGACGACGACGACGACGAGAACGACGACGACGACGACGACGACGACGACGAGGAAGACCATCACGACGACGAGGAAGAGGAGGGAACGAACAAAGAAGCCGATGAGGGCAAGGGCGAGGACGAGGCTGAGGAGGAGGAGGAGGAGGAGGAGGACAGCGAGGACGAGTACGGAGCCCTCAAAATCGCCTCTTGGAGCCCTCTTGGGACTCTTTTGGGGGACCTTGGGGTACTCTCGAAGATATTTTGGGGGGGTCTTGGGGCCATCTTGGTACCCTCTTGGAGGTCTCATGGGAGCCCTGGAGGGCCTCTTGGGGCCATCTTGGAAGTCATCAATCAAGGGGGGGGGCGTCACCCCCTCGGCCATCAAAATCGCATCTTGGGGCCGTCTTGGCGCCTCGTGGGCCCCGATTTGGGCCCATTGGGCCATCCTGGGGCAACCTTGAGGCCTCAAAAGCGCATCGGAGGCGAAGAGGCGAGAAGGCACAAATCATTGATGCCCCGTAGGTTTTGAGAGGTTTGGGCTTCTTGGGGGGTCCTGATAGGGGCTCCGAGAGCACTTGAAACCGTCTTGTGGTTACTGGCGAGCCTCTTGGAGCTATGCTGGAAGCTATCTTGAACCATCTTCGGCTATCTTGGGTCGCCTTGGAGGTCATCTTGGAGCATCAGAGGTTCCCTTGGAGCCATCTTGGGCCACCTTGGACGCCCCGACCGATTGCGGCCCGCCGAAGACAACCTCAGAGAGGGGAGGGGGAGGGAACCCCTCCCCGAGTGAAGAGGGACTTTGGACGGGGAAAGGAATCCCTGTGGGATTTCTCCTTCTCCTCCTCCTCCTCCTGCTCTTCCTCCTCCTGCACCTCCTCCTCTTCCTCCTCATCCTGCTCCTGCTCATCCTCCTCCTCGTCTTCCTCCTCCTCCCCAAAAGGCTGGTGGGATTTAGTCCCGGGGCTGCTCGTGGGCGATTGTGAATATTTCCATGCCGCTGTCCACCCTTCATGTCGCCACGTTGCGGCCTGGCTGATTAGGTCCCCGCCGCATCACCCGAGTGACGTATACCAAGCAAGTGCATCAGTCCTGGTCGGTCCTGGGATGAGGCGTCGAACATGCGGCGATGGAGGTCGAGATCACTTGGATGCCGAATTTATTGCAACTCGTTGTGGCCATGCTGGGAAACATGCCTAGGTGCGGATGACGAGATGACCATCAAGTGCGCGTACCGGCGCAATTGTCGTATTCTGGACAACGACAACTACCAGGATGTCCCTGTTACGAGCTTCTTTTTGGGAGTATGGCAACGATGCCTGTAATGATTATCCTGGTAATGATGATGATGAGGAGGAGGAGGAGGAGTTCTCTCTCTCTCTCTCTTTCTCTCTTTCTCTTTCTCTTCCCATTCGGGCAATCTGTATGCAGGCAGCATAGATCCGTGGACGGGAAAGACACCTGCTAGCTCCTGCCCGCCAGCGCCACCGACACCCCCAGAGAGATAGGCGGTAGACCATCCAAGTCGCCTGGGTGCTCTGGATTGTAAGGGAAATGCCCCCCGCCAATTCATAGACGGCGGTACTCAAAGGAAGGATCGGGAACGGACATTAGAGAATCTCAACATGCACTCTGCGATTGACCCTGGGTTTGGGCGCACACGTGGTTACGTGCCCCATCTCGTGTTGTACTTACACGGGCCAGCAGTGGCTGATGCGCTCACTGTGGCGCCAGCACGGGGGCGCGGCCCCGCAACGCGGAGGAAGGAGGAGGAAGGAGGAGGAGGAGGAGAAGGAGAAGGAGGAGGAGGAGGAGGAGGAGGAGGAGGAGAAAGAGGAGGAGGAGGAGGAGGGAGACCCAGAGGGCCCGCACTACTCAAAGTCCAGGATGGGGAAGCTGTCGCTGGCACGCATCATGTCATTGACGTCTGGCTCGTCATTGACACCTGTCAGAGCATAGAATCCAATCGTGTCATGAACATCTGCGATGCTCACCTGGCACTCGTACGTGTAGCAGGTCGCGCCGAATGGGCTCGTCCGGCACGCACGCTGCGACGAGGCGGGGGCACTCGCTCAAATTCCGCGCCGTCCTGTACAATTGGGCGGGACGTGCCGCTTCAGGGAGCGAAGGCTCCTCGCTGCCAACCAGGAAGACAGCTGTCGGGTCGGGGGGATGGGGCCGAGAGAAACGCAACCCCACCCCTGGGCGTCGCGCTCTCCCGCCACGGGCACGGGCCGAGGACGTGCTCGGGCACCCGAGCGGGTCACGAACGCCGGGCGCACGCTGACATGAACTGCGGAGGCACGCGTCCTCCTTCCCTCCTCCCTCCGCCCTCGTCCCTCGCCCCGCCCCCCCCCCCCCCCCTCTGCCTCCCAAGACGAGAACTGTTTTCCGCCCTCGTCCCTCGCCCCCCCCCCCCCCTCTCTGCCTCCCAAGGCGAGAACTGTCTTCCGCAGCCATCTGCTCCTGGCTGGGCCTGCCGGGTGCTCGGAGGCCTCTCTCCCCCTCTCGCCTGGCCCCCGCCCTCTGCGCCTGCTCCGCCCGCCTCCCGAGTCCTCTCCAGCAGGAGTGTTTGAGAGCCCTCGCAGCTCTCGGGGGAGCGTAAGACCCGGGTTTGCCAGGACTCGGGTTCGCCATCGTTTTTTGACGACCGCGCCTCGGATTTTGACGAGGAGGGGTTTCGTGGGATGTCTGCAGCGGGAGGCCTCGTCAAAATTCAGGCTCGGCCTCGTCATTTTTTTTGACGACCTCGTCGGGGATTTCCGAGTCCCCTGTACCCAGGTCTTGCGTCCCCCTGGAGCTCGGTGGTGCGTCGTGGCCCTCGAGTTAAGTCGGGCCTGTCCCTCTAAAGGAGGAATAGTTTGAAAATAGTTTGGAAAATAGTCGGGTGACGATTTTTCTAGTCCTGCTTTGACCATTTTGGAGCATGTCTCTGCAATGCCGTATTTTTTGCCCAAATCCGCCCGTAGGAAGACATGCCCGACCTGACCCTCGGGTCCCCCACCAAGGAGGCGCCACGAATCGCCTGTGGGCCCCCGTCCCCTGCCCCCGCGGCCAACCGATCCCTCTGTAGGCCCACGGGGCACTGAGGCTGAGCCCGAAAACCCTGCGCGGGTCCAAGGTCCGCTTCCTTTTCGTTTGGCTTCGGTTGGCGCCCCCGGAGCCCCGTGCCCGTGCCCATGAGGATGATGATGACGACAAGGAGTAGGACGACCACGGCGACGATCAGGACTGGCAGGCCGACGCCATTTATCTGCAGGCCTTCGGCCACTACCGCTGGCCACCGTGCCACAGACATTGTGAACTTGTTCAAGACGTTTCACGTTCACCGCCCGCCTAGTCTGGCTCTCGGTGGTCGGGCTGCGGACGGCCCGAAGACGGGATGAAGACCTTCGGGAAGCAGTGACACACGGGCCCGCTGGTGTGTTTGTGTGTGCGTGCTTGTGCGAGTGCCCCTTTAGTTCCGTAAGGGCGTCGCCCCCATGCCGCCGGCCCCCCTCTCTTAGAATGGGACTTTCCAGAGCTGTGTTGGGATGTCTGGACGCTGGATAAACCAATGTCGGGATGTCACGCGAGGGCCAACGTTCATTTACGAGGGTGTAAGGCTTCGGTGGCGCGAACATTAGGTAATTAACGATGGTTTATGGCGTCGGGGACGCGAATATGATATAATGTGCGAAGGTGTGTGGCCTCGGGGACGCACACATTGTGTAATTTACGAGGGTGTATGGCCTCGGGGGCGCAACTATTGTGTAACCTACATAAGTTTATGGCCTCGGGGACGCGAATATTATGTAATGTGCAAGTGTGTTTGGCCTCGGGACGCAAGCATGGTATACTGCACAAAGGTTTAAAGCTTCGGGGACGCGAATACTGTCTAATGTTCCAGGGGTTATTGCTTCGGGTGTGCGAATACTATGTAATTATCTTGGGGTTATGGCTTCGGGTGCACGAATATTAGGTAATCTGCAAGGCTTTATGGCGTCGGGGACGCGAATATTGCGTAATGTACGAAGGTTTGTGGCCTCGGGGACGCGCATATTGTATAATTCACTGGCGGTGATGGCCTCGGGGACGCGAACATGGTGTTATTTACCATGGATCCTGGCCTCGGGGACGCGAATATCATGTATTTTGCGTTTTTACGTGACCCACGACCCCCCGGAAATTCAGACAACGCGATTCGGGACGCTAACCAGGACGCTTTTCGGCTCCCCCCCCCCCTCGCGCGCTCAGCAACAACTGACAGTACGGAAGCAGAAAGAAGATCTGTAACAGTGGAAACTGGAAACTGCAACCGGGACAGGGAGCTGCAAGCCTAATCTTCGCAGCCTGATGGCCCCGCAAGGGGGCCGGCGGATTTACGCTCCATGCGCCTTTCTTCCACCGCCGATTGGACTCGGGTATGCAGTGTGGGTTCTCGACGGTGAGATCATATCCTGCTCGTCGGCCCATCATCAGTACTGCCGGATCAGTGATGGAAAGGTTTGCGCACTGGGTGCTGGTACGATTTCACGGCAGGAGACCACTGGCCAGAAGGAGTCCAAGCATCTCCTCAAGACGGCACGACAGGTGCTCCTGGGCCGCTGGAGCCCACGTCCAACGGCAGCCCTTGCGACTCAGTCCACCCACTTCCGTCGCGCGATGGCGGGCTGGCCCTTGTTGGCTTGCGACGGTTCTGCCCGGGAGGTGAACGAGGCCAGCAGCAGGTCCGAAGTTTGCAATGGCTGCCGGGCCACATATACATGGTTATTCCAAATCCCTTATCTATCGTCCCCCGGGTCGGGATTTATCTTTTTGTAACTGGGGGGGTCCGGTTTAATAGGGCTTTCTCTGTGGATTGGAGCTTAGGGGGTCCGGTTTATTCAGGCGGCCCATCGACGGGGGGTCTGGAATCTCAGGTCGCAGTTGGAGGGTGAACCGTTTTTTTACGGGGGGTCGATGGAGGAGGGATTTGGCGTATGGTTCAGTGGGCTGGACATGTCTGCGGGTGGCCTCGTGCTGTGCTCCCTCTCGCCTTCTCCGAGAGGTCCTCGTCGCGGCCTCGGGCTGCCGGCGTGCGCGCGTCCTCGACGGGGGCTCCGCGCGGGGGCGCGGGGGCGCGCCCGTGCCCACGCGGGGGGCGCCGGCAGCGGTGCCGCGCCTGCGTCTTCGAGGGGGAGCTCCGGCGGGTCTGCAGCGGCGCCGCCCCGCTACGGGCCAGCACCACCAGGCAGGCCGCGGGGCCGCGTGGCCAACACCCTCCTGGAAACCGCCATCGGTGGCCATTTTTTTTCAAAGGGTGCCGCCCTGCACGTGTCCGCGACAGGCGTGGCGCGGCATGGCATGCAGTCGACGGACAGATGGAGCCCAGCATGGCCTCACTGTCGTGAGCTCCGGAGGGGCGAGCGAGCTCGTCAAAGCCACAAGGGATCACTCGGGGGAAGCGCTCCAGCCCGATCGCGCGAGCGTCGAGAGAAACGTGGTGCACCTGAAGCTGCCAAGTTCGGCGCGGCTACAGATCGGCCACTGGCCTGATCCCGCTGGCCACTATGTGGATGTCAAGGTGACTTAGCCCGTGGGGAGCGACGACGTGGGCTTTAGCGTCGGCAGGGCAGGGCCAGCGGTGGGGTTATCCACATCGGCAAGCCTCTTCCGTGCTTACTCCTTCCAGCGGAGGTGCTCAAGTGCAGAATCTGAGATTTCTTGGCCGTTGGGGGTCGTGCGATGGTTTGTCAATTGAAACGGGCAATCCCAGTTTCAGCGCGATCGACAACTCGTTCACCTGCGGACTGTGCGGACAAGATCAATGTGTAGATTTCCTGGGTGAACTCGCCAAGGAGTTGAAGGACTTACAAGAGAATGAGTGTTTCCAATGATTGGAATGCGGAGTAGCATTTGGTTTCCATACGAGGCCATGTTAGATTACCCGAACGATTCTGAAACTTAGGGGCTCCTCCGGTTGCACTTGTGGTGTTTGTATACATTTTTCCATCTATTTAGGTATATAAGGGTGACGGCGAATCCGCATACATGTCTTTAATCGAACTTCCAAGTTTGGTCTGGGCATTTTGATCTTGTGACGACGAGCGCGTTGCCGTACAAGAGCATGCGCAGGAATACACAATTCTTCAAGCTGTGTGGAGGTGTTGTCGTCCTTGCGTTTGCGAAGCGCCAATTCTGGCACGTCGCGAAACTTTGTCCGATGGAAGTGAGTGGGAGTTGGATAGGTACCATGGACTATCAGAAGATGTTTGCGGAGAAAGTCGAGCAGCTTGACCCGTGCGCCTCATTCTGGGCCCTGCCAAAGTCCGTTCTATCCGTCGGAGAGATACGGGCAGGTGGTCCTCGGTTCAAGTACCATTGCGCTTGCTTGGAAGCTTCAGATCGGCCAGGGGTGACAGACGATAACAAGACACTCAGGAAGCAGCGCGATCATCATCAACCACTTGATACAGAAACTGATCGCAGTTCCTTGGAGAGCGGCCTGATTGACAGCGCAGTGACGTTCGGGATCTGAAAAGTACACCGTGACGTGATTTCAATAGTCAGCTATCGTGAACTTCGCTACGCGGATTCCATTGTTTTGGAGATCGTGGTCAGGCGAGGTTCCCAGAAGTTCTCCGTGCAGCGTGGGTCAATGATTCGAATTCGGACGTAAAGGACAAGCTCTTCGCTGGAGCAGATGATCAAAACAAACCGATGGTGCTGATTGAAAGAAACAGCCGCCATTGGTACAACTCAAATCTCAGCAATGGCATCTACACCTGCGCCAGTAACCTTGATGCCGTGGCAAAGGCCAACCAAGACGGCAACTGCATCGGGCAAAGCCAATCGCATGGCCTGGAATCGGTCGACATCGAGTGCGATCTGCACCGGGCGGGCCCAGGGGGCGAACACGCTCGCGCCTGGCGGAGGAAAGAGAGCGGGGGAGGAGATACAGGCAGGCGAAGAAGCTCGAGCTGCATAAGCTTCAACGCTTCGGGGGGGGGGGGGGCGGCGTGCGGGTCTCTTGGCTCGGCGCCAGCGTCCAGCGCCTATCCAACAGATCCGCGCGAACCTCTGGCAGTTTGTGCTGTGTATGTTCTGCGCCGATAGGCTACACATCCGGACCGAGGTATAAGATCGAGGTCGATTGGGGGAGGGAACCCTAGTGTTCTTTGTGTTTGTTGGATGTTCTTGTGCACCCTGGGGAGGGTACCAATGGATGGAAATGTTTGCTTTGGCCGACGGAGGGTCACGTGTTCTTGGGGGATGTTCGCCTGCCCTAGGTCCGGCTGTATTTTCTGTTCTGTATGGGGCGTTCCAGAGAGGGCCTTGCCTGCGAGGATAGAAGGGAGTGTCATCTCTTCCGCCGCGGAAGGCGGCGGAAGGTCGGCGGAAGGAAAACGAGGCCGCCTCCGCCGGCGGAAGCCGGCAGAAGCTCGGCAGCAGGCGGCGGAAGTAAAACATACGCTCTCGAGGGATGAAAACATTTTGAGGTTTCAGGGATTCCGAAATCCGCCATATGGTAGGGAGGCAGGGAGGGGAAGCAGGGGAGAACGCGCACGAGAAGGGGAGAGGCCCTCTCCCGCCCGGCCGGGTGCGGCCCGAGCGGGGCCAGAGCTGGGCAGTGGTGGAAGATATCCACGAATGCGGCGCGCCCCACGGCGCGCCGCTGCGACTTCGAAGGGCACGATTGATTCTCCGCAGGCCTTGGCCCGTGCCCGTTGGTTGGGACTTACTGCGCCGTTCGGCGGCGAGCGAGGGGGGGGGAAGGTGAGGAGGAGAATCGGGGGGGGCGAAAGGGGGGGATAGGGGAAGAGGGGGTTACGAAATCTGCTGCCTACTGCTGGTTTCGGCCCCACCGAAGGGCCCATTCCTCGATACGTGGCCGCCTCCGGCCCCGAGCTACGTGAGCTGATTCTCCCCCCCCCCCTTTGCCATCCCCCCCCTTTCGCCCAGCCCGAGAGAAGGCCCTCTCGGAGGGCGGCGGGGCTTCTCAGAACGCACCTCGCGTCTTCGCCTGAGGCGTTCGCGTCATCGGGGAAGGCTCGGCCAACCTCTGAGGGGGGCGGCAGGGCGACCGAGCCGTCCGACGGGGGCCGCCCCTTCGCACCTCCCTCCCCCGGGTCTCGCCGCCAGGCCGTCGCATCCCGGACCGTGGCGGGGCAGTGGAATCCGAGATATGGTGCCACGGGCCTGGACTTTCTGCCGCGTGCACTTCTGCCTAATGTCAAGTCGGGCCTGTCCCTCTACAAAAACATTCAGCATAGTCGAAGAACGGTCTAGGGACCAGTTTCCTAGTATTTGTGAATATGTTTTTGAGTACTTTTTGGAAATGTTTTACTCTTCACCCAAAATCCGCCTGTAGGAGGGCACGCCTGACCTAAGCCGAATGGCATGAGCTCACAGAGTGCGCCAAAAAGGTGGGTCGTGGTCAGGCTTGCTCCCAGAGCGCAGAATGCTCTTTGCGCATCTGCTCTGGTGGGGCATTCCGATGACCCAGTTGTGCTCGGTTGCTTTGGGGACGGGACGGATGGAACGGATCTGAGCTCTGCAGGACTGGCTCCGGGCCCTCGGCAACCCGCAGCAGCGCGCCTGGCTGCAGCACAACCAGGACGTTGGCCGGCCTGGGGCAGATCGACGACGACGACGGCGTCTGAGGTCTGCGGGCGTCTATGGAAGGTCTTGCCGCCACGGCTGGACGCGGCTCGAACACGTTGCCAGGATGGGCCCTTTGAGTGGTCCAGAGACGGATTTTGAGCGGTGTTTGATAAGCGGGTGTCCACATCAGGGGAGGCCAAGCGCACCAGACAAGAAGTACCGCGGAAGAGGGCAGGGGCGGGGGGTCGGGATTCACATTACTCAAACGGATAGCGAGAAGGAGGAGGAGGAGGAGGAGGACCAGGATCATGAGGCGGAGGAAACTGAAAAAAAAGATGAGAAGGACGAGGGTGAGCACGAGTACGAAGACAGGGAGGAGAAGGCCTAGAAGGGCGAGGAACACCAGAACGAGAGCAAGAGATCGTGGGCAGGGCGGGCGGCGTCGCCGAGGACAACCTGCACATGAAGTACTACTTCGACTCGGGCCTGGGCTGCTTCGAGACGCTGGATGGGAACGCCATCCTGTGCCACCCCAGCGGGCAGGACCACTCCTCCTCTCCGAGAGCTCTCACCTCTCGGCCCGCTCGCCGTCCGAGCCGGGCTCGCGCGCGGGGTCCTCGTCCTCCTCCTCCATTTCCCTCCTCCTCCTCCTCGTCCTTCTCCTCGTCCTCCTCCTCGTCCTCCTCCGCGTCCTCGTCCTCGTCCTCCTCTCCCCCTCCTCCTCATCCTCCTCCTCCTCCTCCTCGTCCTCCTCCTCCTGCTCCTGCTCCTCCTCCTCCTCCTCCTCCTCGTCCTCCTCCTCCTGGGGTGAGGCCGATCTGGCGGCTCATCGCTCACAGTTTCCTCCTCCATGTCCTCCCCCTCCTCCCCCCCTCCTCCACCCTCCTCCTCCTTCTCCTCCTCCTCCTCCTTCCTACTCCTCCTCCTCCTCCTCCTCGTCCTCCGTCCTCGTCCTCATCTTCTCCTCTTCAGCCCCTCCCTCCTACCTCCTCCTCCTCACTCCTCCTCCTCCTCCTCCTCTCTCTTCCCTCTTCCTCCTCCTCCTCCTCTTCTCCTCCTCCCTCCCTCCTCCTCCTCCCCTCCTCTCCTCCTCCATTTCCCTCCTCTTCTCCTCTTCTTCCTCCTCTCTCCTCCTCCTCCTCCTCCATTTTCCTCCTCCTCCTCCTTCTCCTCCTCCGCCTCCTTCTCCTCCTCTTCTTCCTCCTCCTTGCTCCCACCTCCTCTCCTTCCTCCTCCTCTCCTCCTCCTCCTCCTCCTCCTCCTCCTCCTCCTCCTCCTCTCTCCTCCTCCTTCCTCCTCCTCCTCCTCCTCCTCCTCCTCCTCCGTCCTCCTCCTCCTCCTCCCCCTCCTCCTCCTCCTCCTCCTCCTCGTCCTCCTCCTCCTCCTCCTCCTCTTCTCTCCTCCTCCTCCTCCTCCTCCTCCCCTCCTCCTCCTCCTCCTCCTCCCTCCCTCTCCTCCTCCTCCTCCTCCTCCTCCTCCTCCTCCCTCCTCCTCCACCTCCTCCTCCTCCTCCTCCTCCTCCTCCCTCCTTTCCTCCTCCACTCCCCCCCCCTCCCCCACTCCTCCTCCTCCTCCTCCTCCCCCCCGCCCTCCTCCTCCTCCTCCTCCTCCTCCTTCCCTCCTCTCATGCCTTCCCCCCCCCCCTCTCCTCCTCCTCCTCCTCCTCCTCCTCCTCCTCCTCCTCCTCCTCCTCCTCCTCCTCCTCCTTCTCCTCCTCCTCCTCCTCCTCCTCCTCCTCCTCCTCCTCCTCCTCCTCCTGCTCCTCCTCCCTCTCCTCCTAATCCTTCTCCTCCTCCTCCTCCTCCTCCTCCTCCTCCTCCTCCTGCAAGGAGTCGGCACGTGCCCGCAGGTGCCCCACGGAGGAGCGTGCCTCTCTATTGCTTGGGGCATCCTGGGCATTGTAGTCCCCAGCCCCCCCCCCCCCCCTCCCGCCCCCCCTTGATAACGTAACGCCCCCCCCCCCAGTGCGCTCCGGGCACTGCCGCCGTGCGCACGGCGGAGGGGAGGCGTTACATGATACCCCACCCCCTGGCCCTTCCCCCCGTCCCCCCATTCTGCCCCCGATCGCCGAAAATTTAGAAACGCGCACGAGGTGTCCTGTGCCTAGGGGGGTCCAGGGGCCAACAAAAGCTCGGGGGCACCGCAGGACCCTCGAGGGTCGACGACGAGCGTGCCCTAAGATTTCTTATCGCAAGGGTTCTCGTCGTGTGCGCGCCTACTGTGTTCCTACCACTGCCGGTCTTCTCTTTTCAGGAGCGTCGCTCTCTTGCAGCTGCTTGCAACTGAACGCATCCATCCAGCCGATGTGTGAAGTCAGGGCTGGAGCGTGAGGATGTCGATGAGAGAGGGAAGGAGGATGGGAGATCATCCACGGACTTGTTATTGCCGGTCTTCTCAAGAGCGTCAGTCTCATGCAGTTGCTCAGAAGTGAACGTACCCTGAAGCTGTGTGCGGGATGCGGGCTGGAGCGGGAGGATGACGAGGAAAGAAAAGATGAGAAGGCCACGAGGAGGATCTGGATCATCAGCAGCGGCTGCAGCAACAAAGCATACGCCTTCGGCAAAGGTCGAGCAGGAGCGAGAGGAGTCAGAGGACGAGGAGGAGGAGTTGGCGAGTCGCTTCGCCGCTTCAGGCCCACCACGCCTCCATCCACCTCTCGGCCCCCGACCGTCAACGTCCCGAGCCGTTCCCAGCCTCCCGCCCCGCGGAGCGGAGCGACACCCCACCCACTCGCGAGGCATAGCGTGCCGCCAGGGCCGCCGCCGCGACACGCCGCGCAGCAGTCCCAAACTGGAGCCCGGGCCTGCGACGCACCGACTTTTTCGGCACGCGGCCCCCGGAAGTCCCGACCCCTTCCCCGAGAGCGGTGTTTCGCCACCCGGCTCGCTTTGTGTTCGCCGTCCTGGGGCTTGCTGAGGGCCCGGCGAGGCCGAGAACGAGGATCGGAGGACGCGTGATGGGGCACCTGTCTCGGAGGAGGAGGATGAGGAGGAGAACGAGGAGGAGGAGAAGGAGGAGGAGGAGGAGAACGAGAGCGAGAACGCGGTACATCTGCATCCTGGGGCGGGGGGGGGGGCACTCTCGAATGTACTTCAGTCTGGCCGAGGTCTAATGTCGAGGTCGGGCTGTGGAGGCTGCCCTGTGTTCTCCGTGCCTGTCTTGGCTGAACGTAAGAGTGACCTCTCGCCAGAGTCACCCCTGGTGCGGGGCCCACATGGGGCCCCCCCGAGTCGCCGAATGCGATACGATGGCAGCGGCTTGCGCCCGTGTGTTTGGCACCCTCGCTCCCCCCCGAAAAGCCGCTCACCGAAGATCACTCCTACTCAGCGACGCTCTGGCGTGTAGTCGACCCTCGTGTGCTTCGTTGTTGATGGATGTTCTTGCGCATCCTGGGGCGGGGGGTACTCTCGAATGTACTCCAGTTTGGCTGGCGGAGGATCTCATGTTCTTGAAGGATGTTCTTCTGTCCTAGGTCCTGCTGTGCGCCGGAACGCGGGCTCGCCTACGCTCCTCTTGACGGGTGGCACGCCCTGGATGTTGACAGTCCAGTGTTCGTGGGATGTGATGTTTGCAGGGGAAGCTCGCCGCAAATTCCAGAGCGGGTCTCCTTGTTTTCCTGACGGCCCCGTTAGGCCAACCCGAGTCCCCAAAACACGAGTTCTCACGCCTCCCTGACTGGGGCTCACTCCCTGGGCGCAGCAGATTGAATTCAGCATCGGCGCTGGTGCTTCTGTGGTCGAAAACTGCCCGAATATTGCAGAACTCCGTTTCATCCCGCTTACGGTAGGTTCGTGTCGTGTCGACCGGAGGCGACCCTGCCAGCGGCGTTCAATTTTAAACGCCGCGGGCGACCCAGAATCGTTCGATGTGGAACGATTTGGACGTTTCGGGAACGGCCGATCGTTCAAGGTTGAACGATCCCCGCGGTGTCAGAAACCAACGCCGAAGTCGGCACGACACGAACCTGACGTAAACGCTTGATCTTGCCGAACTCTGAGCTTGCTCCGGCCCCCTCCGGCGCAGTCGCCCCTCCCTCGAGTGTGGTTGCCTCCTCCTGCCACGACCCCCGACGTCATGGCTCTTTCAGGACATCGACCCCGGAGGTCCCGACCTATTCCCTGGAATAGCCAGTCACTGCACTTATATTGTCTCAAGTGCAGGATGAAAAGCCAGTCCCGGGCCCGGGACTGGCTTTTCATCCTGATCAGTTTCTGACGGTCCCGAGGCCCGGGTTTTCTGTGGAGTGCCGCGGTGGTGGCTAAGGGGATGGGGAGCGTAGGAGTGGATGCTGAAAGTGGGTTTGATCTGGCCTAACCCACTTTACTAGTGGGTTACAAGTGCCCACTTAGGATGATGAGGTAACTCCGCCACATGGGCTCCGCCTACTTCGCCCAGATCTGTGCGCCACTTCGGGCACGAGCAACCCACTTCTAAGCTGGTTTAGACTGGATAGAACCCACCTTAGCATCCACTTGTGCACCCCTATCCTCTTAGCAACCCCCGTGGCGATCCAAGCAGAGGTCTCGACCCATCCCCCGGGACTGGCTTTTCATATCAGTTTCTGACGGTCCCGATGCCCCCCCGAGCCCCGAGTCGTACGTTCGACTAGACGTAAGAGTGACCTTTCGCTAGAGTGACCTTGGTGCGGGCCCAACGGGGTGGGGTCCCCCGATCGCTGAACGTGAAGCGGCAGCATCGGCTTGCGTGCCCAGGTCTGGCCGGCCCGCGTCCCCCGTTCAGCCGGGCACCCAAGGCCACTCTTGCCTATAGGGTCACTCTCCGGCCCTCCGACGCCATGATTTTTCATCACGTCGACCCCCATGAGGTCTCGACCCATTCCCCGGGATCGGTTTCTCCTCCTGAGTCGTCGTTTGACGGCCGCGAGGCCCGGCGAGGGCCCCCGGATGCGGAACATGGCCAAACGCCTCCCGCCATGCTCCTGTCGTTGCTCGAGGGGCTCTGGGCCTCAAGCGTGTGGCCGCCACGCCCACCCCACGAAGTCCGAGGCTCGGCTCTCCCCCGACAGGGCGGCGCCGCGGCGGCCGCGGCGCGGCCGCCGGCGCGCGCGCCCGGAGGCGCGCTGGCACCGGGAGGCCGTTGGGCGCCGCTCCTCGCCGCGCCCTCGTCGCGCCCTCGTCCCTCGCGCCCCAGGCTCGTCGCCCTCGCCCTCGCCCTCGCCCTCCTCGTCCTCGCCCCGTGCTGCTCGTCGCCCTCGCCCTCGCCCTCGTCGTCGCCCGCGTGCTCGCCCGCCTCGCCCTCCTCGTCCTCGCCCCGTGCGGCGCCTCGCCCCTTCGTCCTGCGCCTCGTGCTCATGCTGTCTGGGCGTCGCCCCCCCCCCCCCCCCGGGGGCGACGCGCGCACCGAGAAATCTTAGAGTATCCCAGATGGTCTGGTACCGGAAATTTTCGGTAGCGATTTCGACGCACCCCGAATTTCGGTAGCGACCGGATCTTCGTTCGAGGGCGTTGAAATAGCGGAATTCAGAACGGTCTGATACCGGTATTGGGCGCTACATTTCGGTATTTCGGTAGCGACCGATCTCTG